TCTCCAATCTTTATTATAATTCTATTTTGTAATTTTCTAATATTATTTACAAAAGCTTAATAACATTCTCGCACTTTCTACTAAATAATATAAATCCCAATAAAAAATAATTTTTAACTGTTACTGTAACTTAAATAGCATATTATTTAATTAAACATAAAGTCCTTTTAAGAAATGGTATATTGTTCTAAAAGTTTCAAAGTCATTATAATAAATATCTATAAAAAATTTACATTCTCTCATATTTGGTGATTGTGGGATGCCTATTATTATGTGTTCATTTAGTTAATAATATCATTGATTAATAGAACAGATTTTATAATGATTATTGTATTTATAAAGAATTTTAAAAATACATTTTTCATATCTAAAAATTAGTTGTTTTACATTTTTAAGCTAAATCATAACTTTCCTTATTATTTGTAAATATTTAATTAATATAGTATCATCTGTCATCTATAATTGATCTATGCTACAAGAAACTAAATAAAATATTCTAGGTAAATTAAAATTTTTTAATAGTTTTTAAATCTTAATATGTCAATATCCATTTTCTTCTATTTTGATAAAGACTATGATCCTTTCATATTATTGTATATTATTAAGTTGATATATAATAAAGTCTCTAATTTCATAAGAGATTTGAAAATAAAAAATATATAATTCACATTATCACAATAAAATATGTGTCTGAATAATATAATACTCTTATTATTATTATAGTAAATGGTTACAGTACTGAATAAAGGCAATTCCTACCATAAAGTTCTATGCCATAATTATTTTTTATTAGATATTTATATATCAGCTCTAAAATATATATGGTTTCTTAAAAAAGAATTATTTAATATAGTTTAAAATAGAAAAATGATAAGCTTTTTTAGTTATTTTAGAATTAGATAGAGTATTTTTTGAGATATTGCCATATATATACTTAAAATTGATAACAAATATAAGTTGTTCTGGTATTTTTAATAGTAGCAAGATTATTAGGAAGATCAGAAATGCAGAATTAAGGATATATATAAGATCATTATATGCAAATATTCATATAACATATAATTGTAAGTACTACAAAACGTTTTACAAAGACTATCAGATGTTACATATCATATTTTTACAGTTTATATAAATATCAAAAATGTTATAAGATTTAGAAAATTTCCATCTAAACAAGAATGATTATCATAAATAGCTTCTTTGTCAGGTAGTTCGAGGTTATCTCTTTCAATATTTTCTGATGATTCTAGAATATTATCAGATACATCAGAGTTATTATTCATATTATCATTTTTTAAAAATCCATCAAATAATTCTAAGGCACTTTTAAAATTATCATCTTTTACAAAAATATCATCATCATTCCTTATAAAAGTATCAT